CCGCATCGCCCGCGGCCGGTCGGGCAGGCCGGGCCCGGGGAAGTCTTCCCCGAGCCCAGCGCCGCCGCCGCCGATGCTGTGGCGGGCGGGGAAGGGGTATCTGGCCCCTCTTCTCCCGCTCCGCTGCCTCCTTCTGCGAGATGACTTTCTCGCAGAAGGAGGCAAACGCGTGCCAGGACCTCTCCTCTTCCAATATTGCGGTGATCACCGCTGGAAGGGAGAGGTCCTGCCCTATCACGCGGACGAGCGCCTCCCGCTTGTCCGCCCACGCCGGACACTCGCCCAACGTGTGTTGGGCGGTGTCGTCCGCCGCGCTGCAATGGTGGCAGCGGGAGTCTTGCTCCTGTCCGATCCGACCCAGGAAATGTCCGAAGCAGCCATGCCCCTTCATCACCTGGGTCATCCGGAAAGACAGCCCACCCCATTCCCTGTCGACACACTAGTCAAGGAGGGGCCCGATTGCCCCGACGACGCGCAGCCCCGGGGTGTTGTTCCCCGAGGCTAAGAGCGCCTCTCGCCACATGGCGATTGTGCGTTGCCGGTGCCGGAGTCTCTGCCGAGCACGGTGAGTCGCTAACCATCTTATGGGTCTCCCCTCGGAGTCGCGGCTTTCGAGGAACATGTTACTATGTTCCTCCGCCGCGTACTCCATCGGGGAGAGACTAGCGATCACCGCCGCCGCGTTGTACGCCACGTTCCGGTACGCCCTACAGATTCTCGCGGCTATCGGGCGAAACGCACGCGCCATCTGAGCGCGCGCGCGCCGCGATGCCGCGAGTTTTGGGGCCCAAATTGGGGCCCCGTAGAGCGCCACGGACTGAACCGTATTGGCGTACAGCCGACGCACCTTGCCGTCCGGGCCGCCAAGGTTGGGGAGGAGCCGGCCAAGCTTAGCCGCTCTCACTCCCGCCCTGCTTGCGGCTCTGACAAGGTGGCTCGCAAAGCTCCATCGGTCGTCGAGGATCAACCCGAGATAGTTCATCTCGTGGCCGATCCTGACGAGGGCCGTACCCACAGCCAGGGTGAGTCCCTCGGGCGGCGCGCCGCGTGCTCCACGTCTTTTACCGTGGAACATCACGGCCTCGGTCTTTCCGAGTGCCACCTCGAGGCCCAGGCTGCGGATAGAGTCGACTATCGCTCCCGCTGCCACTCGCCCCCTGGCGAGGGCCTCCCCCCAATCGCGGCCCCCGGCCGTCACAAGCGTGTCGTCCGCGTAGCAGACGACGTGACAGTCGGGGGGGAGGGGAACACGCAGCACCGAGTCGT